ATTGTACGCAAGCAAAGTACTTAGTTACTTAACATCACTGCCTTTTTTACCCTTGAGCCTATGCAGCTAGTAAATAAACAGTTCAGTGTCTGCCCATGCAGATACCTGTTGGTGAGCGGTCCAACGAAGGGGTTGATGAGCAGCTGCACGATAGCTTTAGAGGCAAACAACAAACCAACTCGAACATTTTCCTCCTCCAGAAACGCACTGTCCTGAAGACATGAGGACTCCTGCAGAGAAGAGAGAGCATGTGTATAAACCCACCTGTATACACTGTATACCCCCTGCACTCTCAGTGTCAGGTGAATATCACCTACTGTAGTTGCGTTGATCTCCTGTTCTGTGTTCAGGCCACTCCGGTCCGTGGTCTCTTTGTAAGGGGTGGGCTCAGTCCGAATCTCCTGCAGGCTGAAGGTAGAGTTGTCAAACAGGGACACCAGAGGAGACAACCGGGGGCTCTGATCTGACTGTGTACCCAGGACCGGTGCACTGTGGCTGGGCTCAGGGAAATCCGAGCTCCTGCTGGAGGTCTGGAATTTTAACCTTGGGGAGGGGGACTGTGCGGTCACCGTGCCCAAGCGTGGTGCACTGAGGCTGGGCACAGGGACCAGGGAGGGCTGGGCGGTCTGGAGCTCTGAACTGGGATGTTCGATGGCGTAGAGGAAGGTCGGGATGATCGGCACTGGAGGAGGAAGATAACTGGTTCATTCAGGGTTCCTGATCAAGCTCATTAACACATATGTCCTGTAACAAATGCTCAGTGCAGTGATATAGTTTGTCTCTTTGTATTTTTCATGAAAGCTCACCAGGGACAATCATTTCACTGCCTTAAAATGTATTACATTAATACTACTGAATTAAGTCTTGTTCAAACCTGCGGGAGACATCGCGCTGAGGTCTTCCAGGCCACATGTAAAATATTGACAGCCATATATTGCCTTTATACAATTCCCGTAAAGAAAGAAGTCAACTATTTTAAATGTCAAATGTATTTTAATTAAGCAAAGGTTAAATATCCTGTAAACAATTTCATTCATATGGCTAAATATCAACTTAGATTTGCAAAGTTCTCCTGTCATTAAATCATGACGTATATGATGTGTTTTGAATTTTCAAATATATAAATATTTAAAATGTGCTTTTAACAAGACATATATTCAAAGTAACGACATATAAAACACATCAGTCGAGGAAGAGCAGCGAAAGAGATGTTATGGGAGAAGAGACCGAAGGAAACAACTGTGAACTAAGAAACTGTAGACTTTAAAGTTCAAAGTCAAAGGGTCTTTTTGTCACAACCTGCCGTGTGTGTGTGTGTGTGCGTGCGTGCGTGCGTGCGTGCGTGCGTGCGTGCGTGCGTGTGTGTGTGTGTGTGTGCAGCCTTTACAAACAGCTCTTAGTCTAACTACTGACGACAGCTTTAACCTCCGGGTTTTTAGATGCGTCACTAATCTGTTTCCAGCAGCTAGAGGAACATTGGAGGACGATCTGTTACTGTGCCATGTCTGGAACAGCACAGTGACAAAAGTATGTGCACAGCTGACCTCATGTGACCCTGGCTTTATGTTAACCCTGTGAACAATGCACAGAGTTCGCCGGCTCTGATGTGATTAGTCAACTGCTTGGAGACATCCCGCCCCTTAGCCTATCACGTACAATGTGTTGGAGCATTAGCCAATAGAAGTGCGAGCGTTACATAGTGATGTCACTATGTTGCAGAAGTAAACCAAGGAGGAAGCGTTTCAGGCATGGGGGGAGTGTGTAGGAGAAAAACTCCCTCTGAGGGAACACAGGGAATTTAGCTTTTGCAGACCATTTACATGTAAATGTTTTTTCTATATTATCAAAAGAAAAAACATTTGTTCAAAGCTTTGAAATAAGGAGTTTTTTCAGATAATCTGAAACAGTTTGAAACATGTCTTGGTGTTGTAAATGAAAATAAATAAATAATCATATTAATGCCGTATCTCAATGTGTATCTTAACCGACACACATCTGGAGTGGTTTTACTCACCGACCACAGTCAGCAGCATGTTGTCGAGCAGCAGAGCGACACACACCACCACCAGCACGAGTCGGGGAGAACCTCGACTCTGACGGAGCCACGCCATGTCTGCACACACACACAAAACACACACACAGACACGCATACACAGCAGATTGTTCAGTTATTTTGAGTTGCTCTTAGCAAGAGCTCTTGGCATGTCAGCGACAGGTGATCAACGGTGATTCTATTCCCAAAATATTATAGACAAAATGCTACAGGAAACTGTAAAGCTTGCAGGATATAATTCTTTTAAGTCACAAAATGTAATCTTGATAAATAGCTTTACATTTAAGTGTTGGCTATTTGTATGTAGAGATATTATTTAACATGTCAGTTATGTGTGTTAGCATGCTAACAATATTAAACACAAAGTACTGCTGAGGTTGACGAATGTCATTAATTCTCTAGGTAAACCAAAGTATCCAAAGACCCATAAATCATAACAGCACTCGATGAAAAGTCAGAGGACCACCAAAGTCATTCCAATTCATCCAGAGGGTAACATGAATGGACGTAGACTCTGTGATGTCACATCATATTTCCAAAAGGTCTTTGTGAACCTGACAACTCCAATCGCCGCCATTTTGTCATTGACACTGCATAGCAAGGCTAATTTAAAAAAAAGTCAAAAGGGTGGCTCCTTGGTGGATCTGAAGGGAAGCTGATCCGGATGAATCAACAGGGCAGATAGATGGCAGAGTCCTGCTGCACTCATATATTGGTTTTTGCTCAGGAGGGGTCCTAACTGGGTGAAATGACCCAGATGAACTAAGTGGAAGCCATGACAGGAGCTTGATGAATTCTCTAAATGCTAAGGAAATGTGCCGAAATGTGCATTCTCCAATAGGGATGTTAAGATTCACCGCAACGTATCGAGATGCACATCGCATCGGCCTAGTGATGGAGATGCACATCCCTATTCTCCAAGTATCTCCTCCTCTATTTCATCTGGCGCGCTAGCATGGGACGTAACTGGCTGTTTTCTCCACAAGGCTCTGCAACCAACCTTGCGGTGAGCAAAGAGCAAATCACGAATCATGTGAATGCAGCTGAAGTGCAGTGGGATTGTCTTAAGGCGCGGACACACCGAACCAACATCAGAGGACTGTTGGATGCACCTTGGCCAAAAGTCGTCTTTGGACACATCTCAAAGACTAAAGCCATGGCCAAAATCACGTGTACATTTTATAGTTTAAATTTGCTGCAAGACAAAAACTTGCAGGACGGATTCACTGAAATATTATGTATAGCATAGCTTAGCATAAAGACTGAAAGCAGAGGGAAACAGCTAGCCTGGCTCTGTCCAAAGTAAAAAACAAACACACAGTAAACGTACAACAGATCAGACCCAGTGGACAGTTTGAGTGTGCAGTCTCACTAATATCTGGAGTCTGTGGTAATAACAGAGGCCCCTGTTGTCTTATTAAAGATCAGATGTGATATGAAATCGTCATTGTGTTTCTTTATTACAGCACGTGAACAATATAAAGCGTAACACATCATACACATTTGTGACCTGCTCTATTGAAATCAGTCGCATTAGGCGCTTTCACACTGCGGTACTTTTCCCACAAAGGTTCATGTGAACTTAGTTCATGTGAACTCTTTAGTTCGCATGAACTAAGTACAGATCGCGTTCACACTGGAAAAAGTCCGTGGGGGTGGATTAGGCAAATGAAGCCGCTGACGTCACTTGTTCTTCTTCTGCTTTGGATTTACTGGCAGGCCGCAAACCACTTCACGGCGTATACTGCCGCCCAAAGTCCCCGGCCGGAAGTCCCCGGAGTTAGGGACTGGCTTCAGTAGAAGCTGCTGGGACTCCCAGCAGCTTCTACTGAAGCCTTCCGAGTAAATCGCCAGAACGCCGACACCTCCTCATCTCCACCGCTCCCATGGTTTATTTTGTGTTGCCATAAGTTAGTCTCTCTGCGTTTCTGCGCTGGACTGATGCTAATGCTAATAATGCTAATGCGAGGATAATAAAATGGCGGCTTCACAAAACTTTTTGGGAGTTTTACGGGGCGTGGTTTGCAATCCGCCCAGCCAATCAGAAATGTAGCTATTTTCTCACAAAAGAGCCGTTCGAAAGTCCCTGCTCTCTAGCAGGGACTTTCGAGGGGGTAAAAAGGTTCACATGAACTAATTTTAGTACCGGCTCTTTTTGGTGTGAACGCGATAAAAGAGTTCACATGAACTAAGTTCACATGAACCTTTGTGGGAAAAGTACCGCAGTGTGAAAGCGCCTATTGACCCGAAGACACATTTTGAGTTGTATACACTGTTGGAAAGAGGAGATTCCTAGCTTTCTAATGCAACAAGTCCTCCAACTCATAGGCCTACGACCAAATGGGTCGATTGTTCAAGCCCTTATTACGACCAAATATGTCGTTTGTTCAAGCGCTTAATACGACCTATAATTACGTTTCAAAGTTGTCGGCCTCTAGTGCTCCCGTTGAATGCAAACGTTACAGAGGGTCGTTTATTCACAAATAACCCTCTCTGTACAATCCTAAATTGTAGGATAGTTTGGCCATTAAAACGCTTTTTGATTAGATTTCTGGCGAGAAGTAAATATTGTACTTTTAGAATCCACGTCCAGTCGATATGTAGGATCTATAGTTTGATAGATATTACGAAGATGATTTGAGGTTTCGTCAGTGTATATGCGGCAGCCTCCATGTAAAGTTACGGGTTGAAAACAGTATTTCCGATCTCGACGTTTTCATAATAAAACCAATGATCAAATGATTTAACAGTGATATCTGCAGTACTCATCCACTAAAAAACATCAGTTTATCCTAGTTAATTATACGACATTAATTGGTTTAAATTGTGTACAATGTTTTTGTGTTTTTCCCATAGGTTTTTCTCTTTCGATTCTGAGACACATTTATTTTTTCAGAGGTTTTGATAGGCTAAAATCACGCCGCAATGCACGTCGGGATATGGTGTTTATGTGATAGGAAATCGGAAAACATTTAAAAAATAAAAATAACACTTTATTCCGAGTGTTCTTGCTTTTCTCTTTGAAAGTCACATAACGGCATTGTAATACATGGTTCGGCTGCATTAAATATTACATATCTGCCGTAGATATGTATTTATAGAGCCCTGATCAGAAGACCTTTTGACAAACTGGAAGAGATGCCGCCAAAACTGAATACGTGACGTGGACCATAAATATATCAACAATTAAACAACATCTTCCATTTATTTTCACACAATACGTCTCCTTGCAGTATCAACACTAATTCGGCTGACTTTTATATTTGATTCAATTAGTAGATAGTCTGTATTTACCCTATGGTATTTACACCATAATGGTGCACAGCTGATAGAAAGGGACTTTTTTGTAGTTTTTAAAGATATTACTGATTTTCTGAACTATCTTTCCAACTCCTCATGCAGTTGACTGTTACAGGTCTATACAAGTTCATGGTACAATGCATAAGCTTCACATCGAGAGACTGAAACTGTATTTTCCTTTACCGTTCTGTTTTAATTTCACAATAAAGTGAATAGTCATATTATGTTTGATATTATTATGTTTTATTAACTAGACCACTGGTCTAAACCGCACCTTAAAGCACGTTATTGAATTTAGTTGTTGAATAAGTTATATTTGATGAAAACATTTAAATATTAAGAGTAGCCTACATACAAAATAGGGGTCAATGATAGAAATATAGAATAGAAAATATCAAGAAGATACTGTAGTGATCTCTACAATAAAACAGTTTAGTGCAGGACGTCCAAAGATATTAACAGGAGGATGTGCAAAACAGACAAACTGATAAGGCTGAATTTTACTCAGGTGTAACTAAAGTCTGATTTAAGGGTTGTTTATTTTTCACATGATTAATCAGAATCTGCAAAGTAACAAAAATAAATGTAGTAGAGTAAAAATACCAGGTTAACCTCTGAATTGTAGTGGAGTAGAACAAAGTAGTACATGCTGCTGTAACAAAAACATTTCCCAACTTGGGATCAATAAAGTATCTTATCTTAAGATGATCGATGGCTACTGCCATATTTGCTAAATGTGCATCTGAACCTTGACAAGTGCATGTTTCAGGCTTATCGATTAACAACAGGAGGGGACACAGACATAAGACCAGCTGTTAAATAAAGCTCATCTGACCTTAGCTGTCATGTGGGTATATTAATGCTGCCCATTATGGACACAAGCAATTGTCACCCATGTATTAATTATATGTTTTAAATTTGATAACACCAATATGTTTCGTATCCCCTAAACATCCAGGGATGTATACAGTTTAATACTGGCAACTTCTAATTGTGGGAAATACGAAAACGTCTTTTAAAACTACAATTCCCAGTAGAGACGTGCCATAGAACATGTTGCGAAACACACAATATCCAGCATGTGTAATTCTGGGGGGGAGGGCTGGGCTGGACCCGTCCAAGTCCAGTTTTGGAAAGTCTGGCGTGGTTCCATTCCATTTCAAAGAGCTGTTTGACACTCGGCGTAACCTTGTCGCTGGAGATATCACTGTGTAATCATTTGACAGTGGGGAATACTTCCGGTTTTATTATGAAAACTTCGAGACCGGAAATACTGTTTTCACCCACGCTAACTTTACATGAGGCGCATTCACACCGCAATACTTTTCCCACAAAGGTTCATGAGAACTTAGTTCATGATAACTCTTTTGTCGCGCTCACACCAAAAAGAGCCGGTACTAAAATTAGTTCATGAGAACCTTTTTACCCCCTTTTCAGTCCCTGCTAGAGAGCAGGGACTTTCGTGGGAGAAAAAGGTTCCTATGTCTGATTGGCTGGGCGGATTGCAAACCACGCCCCGTAAAACTCCCAAAAAGTTTTGTGAAGCCGCCATTTTATTATCCTCGCATTAACATTATTAGCATTAGCATTAGCCCAGCGCAGAAACGCAGAGAGACTAACTTATGGCAACACAAAATAAAACATGGGAGCGGTGGAAATGAGGAGGTGTCGGCGTTCTGGCGATTTACTCGGAAGGCTTCAGTAGAAGCTGCTGGGAGTCCCAGCAGCTTCTACTGAAGCCAGTCCCCAACTCCGGGG